GACAAATGTATGTCTCACCGTCGAAATGTGCACTGATCACATATTGGGGTACAGAGGCCATTGTGTATGATTGTTTGAAGGTTTGAAGGTTTGAAGGTTTGAAGTATATGAGTTAATTGCTTGAATTTTTGAATATTCTAGTGTTTGAGTGATTAAGTGTAGGAGTGTTTTGATAAATGTAAGATTAAATAGGTTGTACTGAATTTGAATAAACCAACAGTAAGCGCTCTCTAAGGTTGTCACCTAGCCTGCACCTAGCCTGCAATCCATGCCAACCTCTAAGGCGCCTCCCATCACGTCCAATCGTGTTACATGCATGCAAAGATGCCTTCTCCAAGATTATCACCTAGCCTGCACCTATACTGCAACCCATGCCACCTCTTATTCGCCAATAGGAATGGCGACACCTTTCATTTTTGTACTCTTTCGCCAAGTACAATGGCGCCTACCTTCACGTCTAATCGTGTTACATGCATGCAGAGATGCCTTCTCCAAGGTTGTCACCTAGCCTGCACCTACACTGCAACCCATGCCACCTCTTATTCGCCAACAGGGATGGCAACACCTTTCATTTTTGTACTCTTTTGCCAAGTCCAATGGCACCTACCTTCACGTCCAATCGTGTTACATGCATGCAGAGATGCCTTCTCCAAGGCTGTCACCTAGCCTGCACCTACACTGCAACCCATGCCAACCTCTAAGGCGCCTCCCATCACGTCCAATCGTGTTACATGCATGCAGAGATGCATTTTCTAAGGCTATCACCTAGCCTGTACCTACACTGCAACCCATGCCACCTCTTATTCGCCAACAGGGATGGCGACACCTTTCATTTTTGTACTCTTTCTCCAAGTCCAATGGCGCCTCCCTTCACGTCCAATTCGTGTTACATGCATGCAAAGATACCTTCCCCAATGCTGCCACGTAGCATGCACCTACACTGCAAGAGTGACACTTATCATGCATGCATTCACCCACCTACCACCTCACTTACTCTATGATAAAATTTTGCTTATAAATACAGAGCCTCACATACTTCTATCACATCCACAATCGTCTCACTCTCTACTACAAACTCTTTCATAATCTCATACAATTTCAAACTCTTTCATAATCTCAGACATTTTCAATAATGGCTCTTCTCACAATGGACGATTCTCACAGTGGCACAAGAGACAACATTGCAACGTTTGTAAGTTTCTTGTATACTTATACATTTTCATACTTCTATTAATGCTTTATTAATCTTACCTACTCTTACACTTTTTTCATTATTAACTTAGGATACTAAAAGATTCAGAATCCGGTCACACAACTACCTTGATCCCAACCCGTTGATCGTACCCTATCTCAAATATGCAGGTTTCAGAAACGTTATAAAGATCTCTAACTGCACGATTGATTCAAAGTTCATACTTGCAATGTTGGAAAGGTGGAGACCAGAGACCCTTACATTTCATCTACCAATAGGTGAATGTACCGTCACACTAGAGGACGTGTACATGTTATTGGGTCTCCCTGTCAACGGTAAGGCGGTTAACGGGTCGATTCAACAACCCAATTCTCTATGTGAAGAATTGTTGGGAAGGGATATGGTTGAAGGTGGTGGTGCGAGAGGTCAGGGTATACTACTTATTGAGCTAAAAAATCATTATGCGACTCTGGAATTGAATGAAAATTCCTCTGAGCTAGCTAAGGTAATAAAAGCTAGAAATTATATAATAATACTATTTGGAACCTTTTTATTTCCTGAAAGTACGGGAAATAGTGTAAATTTTATGTATTTAAATTTACTTAGAGACTTCGAAAAAACTAGAAAGTATAGTTGGGATTCTGTTGTTTTAGCCCATCTATACAGTTCCTTGTGTAAAAACGCAATCAAGTAAAAATGTACATTTTATGGCTGTGCTTTTTTACTTCAAGCCTGATGTTGGTGGAGGATGGAGTCCCTAAACCCCGTCAACAACAACACATTTGTTTTCTCATACGCAACAAAGTAAGTCATCAACTTATATCATTTATTACTATTCATCTCTTCACCAAATATATGATAAAAATAAAATATTTTTCAATTCCTTTAGGTACTACGTGAGGGGTATGGATTACGGCAAGAATCCAAGATTTAATGTCGCTCTATACCGCAATCTATTGGATCACCTTGGCCCGGATGATGACGTCATACCTTTCAACTTTTCTACTTTTAAATTATTTATTTATTACGTTTTCATTAAGCTGATTTAATTTTATCTACAGTTTGTCTGGAGACCATATTTGGGTTTGGACCATGAACCAAACCCCGAGGATGCAGCAATTTGGAGCGCAAAGACTGCAATTATACGGTTCAATATTATGGAGATGCACCATAGCGACCGTGTCAAAATGCAGTTTGGAATGCATCAAGAGATACCCGGCGATCCGACTTGTTTGTCCACGTGGCATCTCAAAAGGGTCGACGCCCAATGGGGTCTTACCAACTGGAAAGATTTTGCTCCAGAATGGTGTAAGATGTGGCAGAGGCGTCACCGACATCTCTTGCAATACCCAGTTTTCCTCAACCATGGTAATATGCGACACACAAATCAATATTTATCTTGGTACAAATCGGTTAGTACCCCTGAAATGCACGTGTCTCATCTAAGGTATTTGGTTGACCCACGAACACAATGGGCACAACCCTCATTTCCCCAACAACAAACCCAACACACATCAACCCCTCCCCCCCCCCCCCCCCCAGCGAAACAGAACCACAAACACCCAACCACAATCACCACCACAATACAATTACATCCACATGCCCCACAACCAACCACAATCACCACCTCAGTACTAATACCCCTATATGCCTCACACTCAACCACAATTTCAATCACAATACCAATACAACCGCATACCCCACACACAATTTCAGTCTTCTACATATCCCAATATGGGCCCCTCAACATCCAACCTTAGCCCTGATCTGGGATTGTCCAAATATTATGAGCAACCGAACCAACTTACCATCAACCACAACATCACCAAAGCATCCAACCTTCTCAATACCAAACACCCCAAGATCCATTTCCTTTCTACCCCCCCTCCCCCCCGTACTCAGACGACCAGTGCTACATACCAACCATAGAACCCCACCCACCACCAACACGACCAAACTTTGAGGGTATGTGCAACCGACTGTACCAAAGTGGATCTTCTAGATATGGAGATCTGACCGATTTCATAGATCTGGAACGCATTGACCTCGCTAGGCCATCGACCATGCCACAACAGGAAACGCGACGAAACTCAGCACGGGAAAGGCGAGGACGGGGATGCGGAACTGGGGGTCATTACCGGGTTCTGGGGGACCCCTGATTAATCTGTATTTTTTTATGTAATTGTTATGTGTGTAATCATATTGTGTAAATAAAAAGTCAATTTTGTTGATCCCATATCGGTTAAGTAACGCACCGCATTTAAAATAAAAAACGCGAAAAATCGCCTCCTAATTGCACTAAGGCGCCATCTCACTTGGCTTAGGGCAAACCTTTCACACCTAGGCGCCAAGTGAGATGGCGTCTCCCCTTTAAAATAAGGTGTAGGCGCCAACTGTGTTGGCTCCTTCCTCGTGAGATTTTCTGAAACATGGTTATTTGCGTAATTTTCTCCGAAACATAGTTATTTGCGAAATTTTTTTTTAATACCTAGTTATTCCAAAAAAAAAATTCAACAAATTTATGTGTCCTTACCATGCCTCATCTCCACATTGAAACCAAATTTTCAAATAAAAATACTCTCATTCCCCAAACTCTTAACCTATTTTAAATTCATAATATACCCCGAACTCTAGAAAATATTAATTTATATTACAAATAATAAAGTAAAATAATCTTAAAAAATTCAAACATACATTTCAAAATAATAAAGTACAAATAAAAATAGCATTTTGACAAGTAATATTTTAAATTGTTAAAATTAAATAATTCAAATTATCAAATTCCTACTTTTTTTTTAACTCGAGGAAACCAAAATACTTTTACATTGTTAGAAAATCGAGAGTAAGGATAATGTACATATAACACTCATATTCTCATTCAACTCCTAACAAACATTTTTTAAGTGACAACACTACGTGATGTGAATCAGAATATTTGTTTCGAGCCGACCAAACAGCTACAAAAATAAAATTGATCCAATTAATGACTTAGTCTAGAGATTCACTTGCCTAGAGATGACGAACATGTAAATCTTCGCCGAGAGATAGCACACCGAACCCAGCACTACTATCATCGCAACGGTTGGAACCAATCCAATAACCTCCCATATTCTACCCCGTGTTCCCTTAGATATTAGAGTCCTAGCCTTACATATAATACCGCTTCATAGAGTGTCTCTAATCATAAAATACCAAAAAGCTTTGTTAACAAAGCACCACTTAAGTGCCAAGTTTCTTCTAAAAAATTGTCAAATATAAAACATTTCATTTCAATTCAAACTTCTCATATGTCATTTGAGAGTTTTCAAAAAGGTACAAATATCTTCTTAGCTGTTATACCACCAAGAGTAATCTTAGTGCAATTGTTGATATGTCTACCATGTGTTTGATGAAAATCCCGATTGAACATTTCATTTTAACCTTTATTTTATAAATCACAGTTTACAACAGCAGGATGTACATTACTGCTCTTTGATTTTTCATTTGCTTGTTGCCACTTATATAGCACTGACACTTTGGATTAAAGGTATGATTTGTGTTTGACATTTGTTGATGTCAGACACCAACGCTACACTGACAAATATAGTTACATTCTATTATATCATTTTTTTTTTCAAATTTTTAGCAGTTTCTACTTGTATGTGTTGTGTCATATCATGTTTTTGTGTAAGTGTTTCATAGATTGCCACACTCGAAATGAATTTGTGTGTTTATGTACAATATTCAATACTTATACATGTATGCATTCAGAGAAAAAGAATAAAGGCAAGCAAAAACAGAATCTAAAGTTTTCATCTTTTCTATGTGACTAAGAAGAATAGGAATCTGAATAATTGGTTGAATTTGAACCTGGTGATGATAATTGAAAGCATGTGCAATTAGGGTCATGAATGACCTTTTTCTTATTGTTGTCAAATTTCGAACAAAACACACAATACAACCTTGGATAACTCCAATAATCTTCCTCTTCATTGTAATCATCGCTGTCCTCTGTCATATTTGAGTCCTCTTTTGTGTCATCTTCTTCATCATCATTACCAATTGGCGTGTAAACTAATCCAAATAATGGAAAAATTACCATGAGAAATTTGTGGATGTTGTCATTGCTCCATTTCTTACCTCTCTCCCAAATCATCAATGGTGCAAAAACTAGTCCAGCACCAAATCCAAAACCAATTCCTGTGGATATATACTGCCAATCAAATTTCATGGCAGATTTTGTTGTTGGTGAACTTGTATTTATGCTGCTGCAGGTTTTTGGCAAAGGAGCGCCACAGAGGTTTTCATTATCCATGAAGGATGTTTCCTGAAATGATTGAATTTGTGTACCTTTAGGGATCATTCCTGAAAGATGGTTAAAAGAGAGGTTTAGGTATGATAGGAAAGAAAGACTCGAAATCTGTATGGGAATTTCTCCTTTCAAAGAGTTGTTTGATAGATCTAAGGACTCAAGCTGCTTTAGATTTCCAATAGAGGGTGGAATTTGGCCTGAAAATGCATTGTTTGACAAGTTGAGGACATAGAGTGCTTTAAAGTCAAATAACTGTATTGGTATTTCGTCATCAAAATGGTTGGATGAGAAGTCGATGGCAGTGAGGACTGTTAGAATTTTAACAATCTCCAGTTGTTGCCCTTTAATTGCAACTGTCACTGAATCCTGGTAATATATCTGACCAAATTGGAGAACCTGAAATCGGACGTGGTTTACCTTAGAATCAGCTTGGTTTTCATCATATCTCATTGCCTCCCATGTTGTGAAGCATTTTCCAGGTAGTTTACCACTGAAATTGTTGAAGGCTAGGTCAACTATCTGAAGCATGGGCCAAGTGCCAGTTGTCTTTGGGCATCCGATGGGTCCATAGAATTTGTTATTGCGCAGGACTATGACACGGATTTTGGATATGTTCTTGAACAAGCATGGAAATTTGTCGTTGATGTTGTTATGTGCAAGATCTAACACTTCTAATAATGAACATTTCACAAGAGATTTTGGAATCTGTCCATCTAAATTATTTTTTTGAAGATCAAGAGTCCTTAGAGCACAAGAAGCTGGGAACACATCTGGGATATGGCCAGTGAGATTGTTCATCTTCAGATTTAATACCACAAGGGTTTGAGTCATTGTCATTAGACATGAGGGAATCATTCCAGAAATGTTATTCATGGAAATATCAAGAACTTGGAGATTTGGGGCATGGCAGAGGGATTCAGGGATACTGCCATGTAAAGTATTATTAGAAAGTGAGAGAAAAGTTGTGAAAGTCAAGTAGTTACCAGTGTCTTGTGGGATAAAAGAGCTAAATTTGTTCATTGAGTAATCCAAATAGGAAGCATATTTAGGAAAAACAGGAATTGGCCCTTTCAATTGGTTGTTATGAAGGTCAAGGGATATCAAGTTGGAAGTGAGGTTTTGCAAAGGTCCTTCCAAACCAGTGAGCATATTGTGAGAAACATTCAGGCTTTGAAGATTTTGTAGCTTCCATACCCAATTGGGCACTTTTCCTTGAATTTGATTTTTTGAAAGGTCTAGAATGGTTAATCTGGATTTGTTTCTCAAGAAACTTGGAAAAGTTGTCAGATTGCAGCATGCTAAACTTAGAGTGCTAATATTGGGAAAGGAAGTATGATCAGCATTTTCAACATTCACATTGATTGATAAGTTGTTGTATGAAAGGTCTAGTGTAGTTAAATTTCTAAGCTCCAAAAGCTCATCTAGGCTTAGTGACTCATTCAACATGTTAGAGGAAAGATCCAGGACAGAAAGTGAATGGAGCTGAGTGATAGGCATTGGAAAAGGCCCTGATAGAATATTGCTACTCAAATCAAGTGTTTTCAATACAGAGGAAGACATGTTTATCAATTCTCCAAATTTACTAAACTGGTTGGATGAAAGTTGAATCTTCTGTAGTAATGCGAGTGCAAAAAGGGACGATGGAATACTCCCTTTGATAGAATTATCACGCAGGTCAATACTGACAAGATTATTGAGTCCTTCAAAATGGGAAGATGATGGAATTTCGCCACTTAAACGATTATGAGAAAGGTCTAGGTGTGTAAGGTTTTTGGCCATGCCAAGTGTAGGCATTGGACCTGTGAAGCTATTAGATGACAAATCCATGTATCTAAGTTCTGTAAGGTTTGACAGTGAAATGGGAAGTGTTCCATTAAATTTACAATAAGAAAGATCCAATTCAGATAAGTGCCTCATATTACCAATAATATGTGGAAATGCTCCAGAGAAGCTTGTGTTACTTACCCTTAAGGTATGGAGAGATCCACTCAGCAGAAATTCAGGAAATGAACCATGGAGATTGTAGTTAAATGATAAGTCAATAACTGACAATGTTCCAATTTGAAAGATTTCTTGTGGAAATGTTCCGGTCAATCTACAAAATGCAAGTCTGAGGGTGGTAAGATTTTTGAAATTGGCAAATGTTTCGGGCACCGGGGATGAAAAGTTGTTCCCATCAAGAATAATGACCGATAGATTCTCAAGTTTTTTCAGTGAAGAATCAAGGGGTCCTGATAGATCACAATAAGACATGCTTAATTCTTGCAGGTCACGCAGAGGAAATAAAGCATTGCACCATTCTTGTCCTTGAGCTGTTATATTTACACCATCAAGATAAAGTTTCCTAATACTAGTGAGATTTTGAACAAACTTCTGTAAATTTGGTTTCTCAAGTTTCAACCCTTGTCCTAATAAATAGCTAAGAGAAGATATATCAAGAGTAACCAACCTTGTAAGCTGGGAAATCTCTATAGGAATCTGCCCCACAAAGCTAGCATATGACAAATTCAGATAATTCAACATCTCCAACTTGTTGAATCCTGATGGAATAACAGAACTGAAATTGTTAACAGCCAAGTTCAGTTTTTGAAGATGTTGAAGACTAAAAAGACTACTTGCAGTATCAAATCCACCAGAGATTGATTCTTCACTCAGATCAAGACCAATAATAAATCCTTGACTGTCACAAGCTACACCAATCCAATCACAGCATTCAATGCTTGAATTCCAGAATTTCAGTTTCCTGGAATTTTCTGGCTTGAAAGTGAGATTGTTCTTTAATTGAAGCAGCAATAATTGTTGATCATCAAGACATTTTCCAGAGACAACAGAGATTTGGAAACTGAGATATATGCAGTAATAACAGAAAACAAAGGAAAGAAATGAAACCAATGTAATTCTCATTGGTTTGTACTGTTAATTACAATCACACAATATTGAAGAAGAGATAAAGGAGCAAATGGTGATATTCATAAAGTTGCAAAACCAATGAAACTTGAAACGTTGCACCATTCAAAGTAAACTGTGTCTTATCATAATAGGTCTTAAAGTCATAGCTTGATTTTTCTACAATGATGTTTTGTCAGAAAAGAAAGAGAAATCAAGCAATGTTTAGTTGCTGAAAAGCATTATTTTTATTGCATTCTACGCGCTTTAATGTCGACCCTTCTGATATGTCGACTTTTGGTGGCTTGTTAAATGGGACACTGAAATTTTGGTGTATTAAAAACAAAACATTGACCCCACGACTTGTTAGAGAGCACATTTTCGTGATATTGGTAGGCATCAACTAATTGCAGTACTTTATGACAATATGGTTCTCATTTAGAATATTCAAACTTTTAGAAAAATACTACCGAAGTAATAGTTTTTATTTAAATGTCTGTAATTTTTTAAATTTTATTAAAAGGTAGTATCATTACGGTTCATAATAATAATTGGGATGATATGTTATGGTTTATAGGTTTTGAATTTCAACACTAATATTTTTTTATTTTTTCTATATAACAAAGGGTGTGTCTATTAATTTCTATATTTCAATCAAAATAAAAAATAATTTCATCACTGTTAATTTCATCACTGTTATATCTATCAACTGTGATTATATGTGATCTAAAATTATATTTCATCTTAGTTTATCTTATTAATCTTGGTGAAATGTGTTTCTTTACAATTAAAACATATTAGATTTAGTTTATTTTCTTCAGAACACAGGTGCCCTAACGAAGAATAGACGATAGTGATAGCGACACCGACTTTCAAACTTCATCTTTTTACCTCTCATTCATTTCTTAGAATGTCTAAACTTCTTGTTCTTACGACGTATCAGCGTGATCATACACGAAGGGCGTTTCTTGATCACAACCTCTTCTCCAATTTATGGTACTTTATCTATTTCTTCACCTTTATTACCATTCATGTTGAATTTTAGATTTTTGGTGTTGTTAAATGTTATATTGTTATGATTGAACCATATTTCTATGTGGTATGTGTATGAACCTCTAGTATGTGAGAGTGTTGTTGTATATATGTGTATGCGGCATATTAGTATGTGAGAATATTGTTTGAATGTTAATATGTTGTGTGTAGCATCAGTTCGTCATTTGTGTTATTGTGGTTGAGTGATATTGAGATTGTTTTATGTTGTTGGAATGTTTTATATTGCTGTGAGTAACGCGGTGGGAGAACTGACTTGGTTGTTTTGCGTTTGATCGCAAATATCGCGGTTAGCAAGAGTCGCCACCGACTTTTCTTTTATCCAAAAGGAAAGGCTGAAAAGAACAGGAAGGACCTTTGAGATTATTTCTTGAGTTCGGGGGGTAAATTATAAAAAGGGAAGGTGTTAGCACCATTTCCATCCATGGTTTTCCATGGGCTCTTAGTTGCTTGCTAGATCACTTGCTTTTGTTTGAAAATGTGCTTTGTGTGGGTTTTGAAAGTATTTTGAAAAGGCGTCATCGTTTAGGCAAACTTTGTAATGATTCTTGTTCGTGAGAATGTATACAAAGTGTTGATCTTTTGAAAATGTTTTCAAGTTTGAAAGATGTTTTTGAAAGTGTTAATGTTTGTTTTGAAAATAGAAAGGATGTTTTTGGTTTTGAAATTGAGCAAACAACTAGGAATAATCTACCTACTCAAAATTATTTCATATTTATTTCTTCTTTCCTTTGACATTATTATCTTACCATTGATTTGGTAAGTAACCCTATCTTTGGATGTAAAAGGGACGGGCAAGGGTCATCGTATAGCCATGATTAGCAATGTTGTAAGATATCTTAGCATTTTCTTTAAGGGACTAAGATCATTTTTGAAAGGCAACTTTGATAGCGTCATTGAGGGACTATGATCTTATATTTTGTTTGTTTTTGCTAAGATATCCCACATGCATAATATGGCCATTTTTGTAAGACAACAAAGTGGATTTACTTTAAGGATGCAAGTGTATTGATTTACATGCTTGATTTGTCTTGATTAGGATTTGCTATTTGTTGGTTTTAATCTTCCCATACCAACCCTAATTACTAGCATTTGTATATAAAGCATTAAATTGCAGAATTTAAATGTCCTACGCTATTACAACGCTTTAGGGGATGGGGATACAAGTTTAAGAATGGGGATGAAAGCAATAAACCTTAAATTATTATTACAAAAAATGACAACAAATACATAGTCACAAAATAATGTAAAAGAGTGAATAAATAGGCAAAGATGGGAAAATGGCTAAGTATAAATCCTAACAAAGTTCTAAATATTTTAAGAAAAGAAATGTTTTTGTTTGAGAAAAGAAATTGAAATTTTTAATGTAAAGAAATTAGAAGTTAAATCCTAATTCTATTTTATTTACAAATTAATAAAAATAAAAAGAAAGGGTAATAAATTAATTTATTTATGAAAATAAATTAAAACCTAATGCATTCTAGATATTTTAGAAAATATTGTTTTTGGATTTTTTATTTAGAAAAATATTTTAATGTAGTGTAAAAAAAAATAGTAAAAACCTAGTTCTAATTAATTTAAATAAATTAATAAAATAAACCTAAGATGTGATTAAAATAAATTAATTTTATTTGTGAAAATAAATTAATTTAAAAAAACTTAAATTTATATTTTTTATGATTTTATGATTGAAAATAAAAATAGTAAAAGGGAATCAAATAAATAATTAAAAAAAAAACCAAAGAAAAATATAATGGGCCTGAGTTGCAAGAGTGATCAGGGGGGTGAGAAATAGTAAAAGATTCAGGCCCAAAGCAAAGTGAGCCCAGGCGCCTGCAATATGATCCAGTGTGGGTGGTGTTTTGAGGGTCCATCAAGGTGGAAGCATACAGTGCAATGGATCTGGCTTGATGAAGATCAGATGGTGTTGATTGAGGGTTCATCATGCGCGTGTAGAAGCTGCCTCTACAGGATCTGTAAAAATAAAACATGAAAAAGCAAAAGGGGATCACTGGGGCTCGAACTCAGGTCCTTATAGTCACAGGCGCGCGCTTCTACCACTTGAGTGGTTATACATCCGTTTATTAATACAAAACCAAGAATATATATTTGAAACACATTCCTAGGCCTGTATCATCTTCAACCTCGCGCCAGACCAATCAACATGATTTTTTGAAATTGCTATCTCTTTCATTTCTCAACCATTTACAAAAGTATAAACATGAAACTTGCTTCAAATTTCATCACGAGTTCAGTCATATAAATAAAGCTATAAATAAAAAATGAACATGAATTTTGAATGGTACCAAATCTGACATAATTTTTTCAGAAAATTCAACTCTAAAATTCTCACTACTCAGACAACATAAATGAATTCTAAGGACATGGTTAGTTTCAGGACTATGATGTCTATATTTTATCTTCACAAATGGAAACCAAATGATGCTTATGAAGAGTTCAAAAGTCAAAAAACTCACCTTGCAAGAGGGTATCGTGTTTTGAGTTTGAGCAGCTTTTGATGAGTTCCAGTGATTGGGTTAGTTTCCTCAAGTTCCCAGGAAGCTAATGTGATGCTTGGCTTGAGCTGAAAGTGGTTGAGGAGTTCTGGAGAAGTCAACTTGCAGACCCCTGTTATTGAAAATGGAACTTGATGATGGAGGTGTTACAGTTATGAAACAGGGTCAGGGATGAGTTGTATTTGATGTTTAGAAGCTTTGTGATTGATTAGGAAGGAAAACGCACAAGGGAAATGAGAGATATAAGTTCAAGGTCAGAACTGTGCATCAATGGAGTTTCTTGTGCAAATTCTGGCTTGAGGGAGTTTTGGTGTGTTTCAGGGTCCTTAAGCTCATCCCTAGCTCACAAATAGTGCCTCTATTTATAAGCAACAAGTTTGGAAGCTTGTTGTTGATCAGAATTCAAAATCACAAGTTTAAGCATAACATGTGATTTTTCTAGAAAATCTAAGTTTCAAAGTCTTGTGTACTTGCTAAGATAGAGTGGTTATGCTTTAAACACACTTGCTTATGACTTTGTAGATGGAGTTTACTTAAAGAGAACAAGTTAGAAGCTCAAGAAGCTGACTTTGTGCATAAAGCTTGCTTTACAAGAATGGAAATGGTGACTTTTTCCCTAAAACGGAAAAATGCTTTGGACAATGCTTGAATCAATTGGACAATTGATCAATCAGTTATGTAAACATCAAATTAAGGAGTGACAAACAAGTTTGAGACCTTCAAAGTGAAGATTATGCAACATGGCTATGGATTTGGTTCATGTTGCATCACAAATTTTGCCTTGCAAAATAACTTGAAACCCTAACTTATGGCCTTCGATTCTCCTTGCTCACAAATGATCTTAAGGAGTCTTGGACATTTTGGAAAGCTTGTAATATGCTATACAACCCCTCTTTGAATCACTTTTGCAAAATCCAAATGGAACTATATGAAACTTGGCCCAGAAGTTAGGTCAAAATCCTGACCAAAAATGCTCAAAATTTCACTAAGTGTTTTAGTTTTATGACCATGACTTCATGGATTAATAACTTGGGATCTAAGCATTTCTATGAGAAGTTGTGTAAAGCAATGTTTTAGATCTCATGGAGATCTACAACTTTCATATTGAAATTTTCTTTTGAATCATCTTGCATCATGGTGAAAATTTGGCTCAAAGTTGTGAAAAAATATGAAGTTTTCAACACTTAGAAAAATTTCTAAGTTTGGAAACTTTGACTTTTCAAAATGAAATCTTGACTTTTTGATTTCTTGATGAACAAGTTTCATATTTTTACATGTTTTGATGAATTGTGATCTTTGACACTTGATTTTGACCAAAAAGTCAAAGTTTGACTTTTCAGTGTACAGTTGACTTTTGATCAGTTGATTGAAAAATCAACTATCAATCAAATGACCTTGAGAAATGTTTTGAGTCATTCCATTAGGTAAAAATGATGCAACTTAACTCTTGAG